GTCCTGCGCCATCCCCATGATCAGTTGCCAATCAGACTGTGTGATCCATGGAGTTTTCACTGGCTGATTTTTCAGAAATAGCTATCCAGGGCTTTCTTCCTAGTCTGTCTTAGTCTGGAAGCTCTTCTGAAACCAGTTCAGCACCATAGCAACATGCAAGCCTCCACCGACGCACAGGTGGTGGCTGCGCATGAGGTCTATTGGCCAGAGATCAAACCTAAGGCTCTCACACGAAAAGCAAGAATTCCACCTCTGAAGTACCATTGCCCTCTTGGAAACTTTTAGACAAATCAGCCTGAACTTCACGCCACTGTAGGGAGTGACACGATGAAATTGGGGTTTTAGAAAAATCACTCTGAAATGATGCGAGAGAGTTGGTAGGGGACTGGTCTGGAAGCATGTAGCAGTATCAGGCAGCTATTAAGAGTGATCCACTGTTATGAGACCTGGGCTAAGGTCATAGCGGCAATGAGACACTTTGAAGACGTGAACAATGGTATATAGCAACAGACTAACTATTGGAGGAGTTCAAGGAGACATCAAGATTTCAAACCTGGGAAACTGGACAAATGGTGATATGGCTCAGAGAAATGATACAGTCAGGCACATTGACAAGAAATAGATTTCTTTTCATTGTAAAAAGTATTTGATAGTAGCTTCAATTAACACTATGTAAAAAATCACTCTAAGGTTTTAACTTTTTCCCTCAACATAATTAGACTTTAGATATATTAATATGCATTGTTCATGCCAAACAGACAATAATTTTAAAGCAGAGATAGGGTGGTTGTTAGGAAGCAAAGAAATGCCAAGCTTGATCAGGAAAGGCACCTCCTTCCTTAAGCAAAGGCTGAAAATACACCAAATGCATCTGTAAGCTGGAGGCTGCCTTTAATGGGCAGCTACACCCTGTTGCATCTGCCACCCGCCCAAATCCAGAACTATTCGTCACATAAACTTGATTGTGTTTGGTTTTCCCCTTAAAGAATCTGTATAACTCACATTAAGATGTGAAAACTAAAGTAGAACTTCCCAGTTCTCAAAAAGCGGAGAGAATCTGCTCAGAAACGGGCAGGCAATTTCAGTCTCTCTCAACGGAGTTCATTAGCAGAGAAGATGATTCCAGGGAGAAGAAAGACAGTGTCGTGTTGAAGAGCTGTCACTACCACTGGTTTAAAAAAAAAGGAATTATTGTAACTATTGAGTGTGTGGTTATAAAGATTTTTTAAAAAATTGCAAATGTTACAAAAGCACTTAGATATTTTCATAACTTCTAAACATTGTCATATGCATGGTTTCTGTAAGGAGTTTTCCGTCATGAAAGTGTCAAAATCAGATTCAAAAATACACTAATGGAAAAATACTTCCCAAACTCTAAATAAGTGATCAAATCTGTCATCTTTTTTTAAAAGGAGAACTGCATAACGAAGACATAGCAAGGCAAAGCAGGATGCATGAATTCAGACATGTTATTAATTACCTTGTATCCCCACATCAAAGTAGCCCTGGTGGCTCAAAGGTTAAGTGCTCAGCTAACAGAAAAGTTAACGATTCAAACACACCCAGCGGCTCCTCAGAAGAAAGACCTAGCAGTCTGCTCATGGAAAGATTACAGCCTAGAAAACCCTACGGGACGGTTCTACTCTGTCACATGGGGTTGGGATAAGTTGGAATTGACTCCACAACATCTAACATCCCCACATCAACATATTTAAAAACTCCGGAGAACCTCAGGGATCACTTGTGGTATAGGTGAGACCAGAATTCAGGGCTGTACATGTCTCAGGGGTGCAGGTCACATAGCATCTCCATATAATCCCACTGTTATGGATCAAATTATGACGCTCCGCCCACCAGAATATGTGATGGCATCCTAACCCCTATACCTGTGGATGTAATCCCATTTGGGAATAGGGCGTTCTTTGTTATGTTAATGAGGTTTTTTTTTTTTTTTAATCAGTGGTAGTGACAGTAGTGACAGCTCTTCCACATGACATTGTCTTTCTTCTCCCTGGAATCATCTTCTCTGTAGGGTGTGTCTTAAAACTAACCGCTTTAGAGATCTAAAAACAACAGATTAGACACGGAAACGCAAACCAGGGAAAGATAGGTGCTATGTAGAAATAGTCAAGGAACCAAGAAATGCAGGGACTAGAAAAGCTAATAAAAGGATTTTTCCCAAGAGTACAGAGTCTTCCCTACAGCTGATGCCCTGAATTCAGACTTCCAGCCTCCTAAACTGACAAAATAAATTTCTGTTGGTTAAAATCACTCACTTGTGGTATTTCTGTTACAGCAGCACTAAGAAACTAAAACACCCACGAAGTCTCCATACCTTATGCAGGCATATCAGAGCCAATACAGAGCCATTTGAACAACTCTGAATGTAGTCCTCAAATGCCACCTCCTCCAAGCAGGGCTGGATTACCCAATAAGCAAGGTATGCAAGGGCCCAACTGGGCCTTCCCACCAATCTGCAGTGCACAATTTCACCTGTCCCCCACCACGTCAGAGATGTAGTGAAACCCATGTGAAATTACTCACCACAGATTAGCAAGTATATACAATTAAGCCTGTTTGTACCTTGCTCAGTGCAAACTGGTGCATGTCGTACTCAGTGGTTAATCTACCTCTAAGACAACCTCAATCATTGTCTGGTTTCCAACTGCACTTAAAGTCCACATCACACATTCCAACATATGACCACATTCTGCTTCAGCTCGTTGCCTAGTTGTTAGCCTGACCCTTACCTCCAACCCCAGAAATCACTGCATCTCCAACCCTAAGTACAGACAATAGGTATCTTGTCTCCTCCTTTGCCTTGTCAGCCTTTTCAGGAGACACCCCTGTGGTTTTAATTCATCTAAAACAATCATTTACTCAGCACAAAATTCGAAACCCTAGGGAGGCAGTTTAGTAATTTAGCATTTTTGTTTCATGAGAAAATATTATTTCTAGTTCATAATGGGAACTTCTGAAACATTGTTTCTTATCATTAAAAGCTTTCAGAAGTGTATACTCTGGGCTCTTTATAGGAATTTCCCTATAAAATGCCCTGAGGAAAAGCATATGGGTCTTTCTACAAGGAAGTATCTTCAGTAACTTCTGTAGCTTCAGGGAAAAGGTCTTTAATTTAGAGCTGAACTAGTCATACAAATAAACATTTTAAAGCCCTTGGAATTTGAAGTTATGTTTAACAAGCTTTTAGGATAAATTAAGAGTGTGTTTTATCTGTTGTGTTGTGATGACTGTGAATGAGAAGCAGAGAACACGTGGCTCTGGTAGTCAAGTTTTGTTTTCTTTTTTTCCCACATACTGTTGCCAGACCCTTCACAGAAACTGAGTGACACATGATTCTTGCCATCCAGGATCTTACAGTCTAGTAAGGGCCCCATCTCCAAACACTCTGATTTAATTGCTCTGGGGCAGACTTGGGCATCAGTATTTTTTATAAAAGTTCCCCAGGTGATCCTAATTTGTACCAATATTTGAGAAATATCACTCTAGTTTGGTAGTTTTCAAAGTCTCCAGACCAACAACCTCAGCATCAACTGGAAACTTATTAGAAATGCAAATCCACAGGCCCTTTGCAGACCTACCAAATCAGAAAATCATAGGGGTGGGGCCTGGCAAGCCCTCCAGGTAATTCTGAAGCCGCTAGTGTTTGAGAACCACTGTTCTGTCTGATAAGAGAGGATATGAGCAATGGAAGATAATCAGCAAACAGGAATGGAGAAAAGCACCCAAACCTATTGCCTTTGAGTCGATTCCAACTCATAGTGACCCTACAGGACAGAGTAGAACTGCCCTATAGGGTTTCCGAGGCTGTACATCTTTACGGGAGCAGACTGCCACTTTTTTCTCCCGCAGAGTGGCTGGTGAGTTCGAACCACCAACCTTTCAGTTAGCAGCTGAGTGCTTTAACCACTGCACCACCAATGCTCCTTGAGAAAAGCAACAGGCAGGGATATTTTAGAAAATAAGAGAAGTCTATTCGTATATTCTATGAGCAATCCTGAGACCTCAGCACCTTGCTTAGAGAGGAAAGTGTGTTCAAACAACCATCTTCCAAGGGCAATATATGAAGACAACTTGTTTTCCACTTAGGGGTGCTGCCCGTACAATTCTCTTATTGATGTTGTTTTCAAATGATTCTATTAGGATATGTCTACACTGGGGACATTGATGTTTCAGTGGCCTTCTGTGCAGAAGACTGGGGTTTGATTCCCTGCCAATGCACATCAGATGCAGCCACCATCTGTCTTTCAGTGGAGGCTTGTGTGGTGCTGTGATGCTGAACAGGTTTCACAGAGCTTCCAAGCTAAGACAGACTAGGCAATCTACTTCTGAAGAATCAGCCAGTGAAAACCTGTAGATCATAATAGTCCCATCTACAGCCAATCAGGGGGATAGAACAGGAGTGGGCAGCGATTTGTTCCATTGTGCCTGGGGGGTCACCATGAATGGGGCTAATTGAAGGCAGCTAACACATGTCTACATTCTGTACACACATAGCAGGAGGCAGAGAACTAGAGCAATACGGATCCTTGAGATAAAAAATTTCACTAAGGCCAACTTCTTTCTACGTCAATTATTAGATAACTGGCTCCCTTTGCCACTTCTTTTATCTGTAACTCAAATTACAAAACAGGCCAGTACTTTTTCTTTGGGCAAGCAATTCTGCTTCTTGCCACAGTCAAGCTACATGAGGTGAGTAAACCGCTGAGGAAAAGGGCAACTGGAAAACTTGTGCCTGGATGAAAAAGCACACTGGTAAATCTGCAAAGCCAGCACTTGATACAAATTAAAATATCAGCTTCCCCTCCACCACCCAGATATGAATGGCTTAAGAATCCAATTGAAATATTTTTATTTGTTTGGTTGATTTTCATGTGTCTTGAGCTCAAGCAGAAAGCTTTCCTTGGCAATGCTGATGAGATTCTTTCTCAAGTTGCTTTCATTCTAGCAACATATTCAGCTCAGCTATTTCTTATGCCGTTATGGTCCTGCATTTGCAGCTTGAGTTACCATTTCCACAAACACCAAGGTAAAAATGCTAATTTCTCTTATTTGATCCTGATTGAGAAATTGCCTCGACAAAAGAGTTAACTTCTCCTCACCTCTAGTGGGCACTGGCAAAATTAAGTAGATAAAATTTGTCTTTGAGGACCCTATTCTCTTTCCTTTGTAGGTACCCAGTTCCATCAAGCAAACTAATGGTTCCTCAGGAAAATCCATCTAATTGCGGTGGTTCCTATCCTCCAGATCTTCCTTCTGTTTCTCATGCCTCAAAGTACATCAGTTCTGTGGGTTAAGACCCTGCTTCCATTTCTCTTGGTTAACATGCTTGGCTGCTAATGGAAAGGTTGGAGGTTCGAGTTCATCCAGAGGTGTCTGGAAGACCTGTTGATCTACTTCCAAAAAATTAGCCATTGAAAACCCTATGGAGCATAGTTCTACTCCAACACACATGGGGTCACCATGAGTCAGAATCAACTTGACAGCAACTGATTATTATTTGTTAATTAGCTGAGATTACTCTTACTAGATAATTAACTAGGTAATATTATAATTCAAATTAAGGGCAGATATCTTCTTACAAGAGGAAATGTCAATGATAAGAATGTCCAACTCTTGCACCAGGGCCTGCCCAACCATAGCATGGGGCATCTGATGTGGCTCATCCACATCAGAATCATCTTGCATTATTGTTAAAAATGCAGATTCTTGTGTCCCATCCCAGACCTTCTAAATCAGAGTCTCTGTGGTTGGAATTCAGGGATTTGCATTTTAACAGCTTTCCCAGATGATTTGTTGGTATACTGGAGATTGAAAATCTCTGGTATCACAGGAAGAACCCCAGGTTCACAGTCAGCAGGCTTGAATTTTAATCTCTTCTCCAGGTGGACCATGTGGCTCTGAACGGTCCGTGTCATTTGCTCTGGGACTTAGAAATTTTGCATCTTACAAATTCATGGAGATAGAAAGTAGATTAAAGGTTGCCAGGGTCTGGGGGTGGGGGGGGAGGGGTGGTGGAGAAGTGGGAGTTGTTGCTTAATGGGCACAGCATTTCTGTTTGGGGTGATGAAAAAGTTTTGGAAATAAATGGTGGTGATGGTTGCACAACATTGAGAATGTAATTAACACTACTGAATTGTACACTTAAAAATGATTACAATGGCAAAATTTATGTTTATGTATATTTTACCAAAATAATATTTTTTTACAATGTAGAGTGCCTCTCACTCACCGCATCATAGTAAGGGCACTGTACGTAAGGTGGAATGGGTTGTTTGGAATACAGGGTTTTCATTTTTACTGGCTTCCAACTCTTCCATTTTACCTGACTCCAGATTTTCTCACATAGTTGCATGTGCATGACAAAAGCCCTGCTGGATTCCTGGCTACCCTCAGGCTATGGAATAGGAATAGGGTCCTAGGAGCACAAAGCAGGCATGTGCTGTACTTTTCAGGGGCATCCCTTAACAAGGCACTAGAGACGAACTCTTCTTGGGATGTCTGTATGCGAACCAGTTTAACTTGTGGAACTGGAAAATCTGCCCTGGTTTTGGGGAAAACTCCCCACAGCTACACACCCATCCCAGGGAAGTTTGTTTGGATTTGCAAGCTGCCTCATCCATCCCGTTCTATTTTGGTGTCTGTTGTTATATACCAAGGGCTGGCTTCAGCCCTGTTGTGCTCGAGTCAAGAATAAGTGACACCTAGCCTGGATAGCCAAGTATCAGGGGTGGGAGAGGGGTCATGATCAAATGAGCAGAAAGAAGACCCTCCTCTTCATGCTGCCATACGTTTCTACACCAGTCACTCAAGGTGACAGCTTAAAATCTGGGTGACGAGAGGTTACAAGGTGAGGTGGAAGTCGGATACTTGCCTCCTCACCTGTCAGCCTGAGAAGTCTGAAATAATGCCTACAACCTCTCTCCTGATGTTGTTGTTGTTGTTGGGTGCCGTCAAGCTGATTCCGACTCATAGCGACCCCATGTGACCGAGTAGGATTGCCCCATAGGGTTTTCTTAGCTGTAACCTTTATGGAAGCAGATTGCCAAGTCTTTCTCCCAAGGAACTGCTGGGTGGGTTCGAACCACCAACCTTTCAGTTAGCAGTCAACTGCTTAACCATTGCACCACCAGGCCCTAACCTCTGTCTCCTAGGACTCTGATAACTGCATGGTGTTTGCTGTACAGGGAGGAAGAAGGAGAAAAAAGGTTGGTATAAAAGGGAGAGGGCCTAGCATGAGAAATCCAGCTCAGGTAGCCCAGAGGACACTGGGACCATGAGAGTAAGCACCCAGCCTTTGCAAAGCAGCAGACACGCTTGGAGGTGCACAACTCCAGAGCCACACCTGAGTGAGCGTGGATGAGAAAGGGGATGACAGTCCCAGAAGGAAAGAAAGGTAGAAGCATAATTTCCTCTTAAAGTCCTTGACTTCAGACACTAAAACTATGATCTTTATATTTGATATTTTCCTGTCTTGCAATGTTTCCCTGATCCATAAATCTGCTGCCATTGAGTTGGTTCTGACTCACAGTCACCCTATAGGACAGAGTAGAACTGCTCCATAGGGTTTCCAAGGAGTCGCTGGTGGATTTGAACTGCCGACCTTTTGGTTAGCAGCCAAGCTCTTAACCACTGTTCCATCAGGGCTCCTCCCTGGTCCATAGGCAATATTTTTTTAGAGTAAAAGTGTTAGGCAACTTATCACATTTCTGACAAAACCTAGGTGTATGTGATCTTAGGCTGGGACACAATCTTAACCATCACATATGTGATAGGTTGAATAACGTTGTTGTTGTTGTTGTTGTTAGGTGCTGTCTAGTCAGTTCCAACTCATAGCGACCCTATGCACAACAGAACAAAACACTGCCCAGTCCTGTGTCATGCTCACAATTGTTGCTATGCTTGAGCCCATTGTTGCAGCCACTGTGTCAATCCATCTTGTTGGGGGTCTTCCTCTTTTTCACTGACCCCATTTTACCAAGCATGATGTCCTTCTTCAGGGATTGATCCCTCCTGATAATAGGTCCAAAGTATGTGAGACATAGTCTCGCCATCCTTGCTTCTAAGGACCATTCTGGTTGTACTTCTTCCAAGACAGATTTGTTCATTCTTTTGGCAGTCCATGATATATTCAATATTCTTCGCCAACACCACAATTCCAAGGCGGCAATTCTTTGGTTTTCCTTGTTCATTGTCCAGCTTTCGCATGCATATGAGGTGATTGAAAACACTATGGCTTGGGTCAGGTGCATCTTAGTCCTCAAGGTGACATCTTTGCTTTTCAACACTTTAAAGAGGTCTTTTGCAGCCGATTTGCCCAGTGCAATGCGTCTTTCAATTTATTAACCACTGCTTCCACGGGCGTTGATTGTGGATCCAAGTAAAAATGAAATCCTTGACAACCTCAATCTTTTCTCCATTTATCAAGATGTTGCTTATTGGTCCAGGTGTGAGGATTTTTGTTTTCTTTATGTTGAAGTGCAATCCATACTGAAGGCTATGGTCTTTGATCTTTATCAGTAAGTGCTTCAAGTCCTCTTCACTTTCAGCAAGCAAGGTTGTGTCATCTGCATGACACAGGTTGTTAATGAGTCTTCCTCCAATCCTGATGCCCCATTCTTCTTCATATAGTCCAGCTTCTGGGATTATTTATTTGCTCAGCATAGAAATTGAATAGGTATGGTGAACGGATACAGCCCTGACATACATCTTTGCTGACTTTAAACCATGTAGTATCCCCTTGTTCTGTTCAAATGACTGCCTCTTGATCCATGTACAGATTCCTCAAGAGCACAATTAAGTGTTCCAGAATTCCCATTCTCTGCAATGTTATCCATAATTTGTTATGATTCACACAGTCAAATGCCTGTGCATAATCAATAAAACACAGGTAAACATCTTTCTGTTATTCTCTGCTTTCAGCCATTATCCATCTGACATAAGCAATGATATCCCTGGTTCCACGTCTTCTAAATCCGGCTTGAATTTTTGGCAGTTCCCTGTCGATCTACTGCTGCAGCTACTTTTGAATGATCTTTAGCAAAATTTTGTTTGCGTGTGATATTAATGATAATGTGATATTAATGATACTATTAATGATAATGTTCATAAATATGGATCTCTTCAAGTTGGTTGGCCAGGTAGCTGTCTTCCTAATTTCTTGGCATAGATGACTGAGCACTTCCAGTGCTGCATCCATTTGTTGAAACATCTCAGTTGGTATTCCGTCCATTCCTGGAGCCTTGTTTTTCACCAGTGCCTTCAGTGCAGCTTGGACTTCTTCCTTCAGTACCATCGGTTCCTGATCATATTCTACCTCCTGAAATGGTTGAACATCGACCAATTCTTTTTGGTAGTGACTCTGTGTATCCCTTCTATCTTCTTTTGAAGCTTCCTGCATCGTTTAATATTTTCCCCATAGAATCCTTCAGTATTGCAACTCGAGGCTTGAATTTTTCTTTAGTTCTTTCAGCTTGAGAAACGCTGAGTCTGTTCTTTCCTTTTGATTTCTACCTCCAGGTCTTCGCGCATGACATTGTAATACTTTACTTTGTCTTCTCAGGCTGTCCTTTGAAATCTTCTGTTCAGCTCTTTTGCTTCATCATTTTTGCCTTTTGCTTTAGCTACTCAATGTTCAAGAGTATGTTTCAGAGTCTCTTCTGACATCCATTTAGGTCTTTTCTTTCTCTCCTGTCTTTTTAATGACCTCTTGCTTTCTTCATATATGATGTCCTTGATGTCATTCCTCAACTCCTCTAGTCTTCGGTCATTAGTGTTCTATGTGTCAAATCTATTCTTGAGATGGTCTCTAAATTCAGGTGGGATATACTCAAGGTTGTACTTTGGCTCTCCTGGACTTGTTCCAATTTTCTTCAGTTTCAACTTGAACTTGCATATGAGTAACTGATGGTCTGATCCGCAGTCGGCCCCTGGCCTTGTGCTGACTGATGATATTGAGCTTTTCCATCATTCCTTTCCACAGATGTAGTCAATTTGATTCCTGTGTATTCTACCTGGTGAGGTCCAGGTGTACAGTTGCTGTTTATGTTGGTGAGAAAAGGTATTTGCAGTGAAGAAGTCGTTGGTCTTGCAAAATTCAGTCATGCAATTTTCGGCATGATTTCTATCACCAAGGCCGTATTTTCCAATTGTCAATCCTTTTTCTTTGTTTCCAACTTTCTCATTCCAATCACCAGTAATTATCAGTGCATCCTGATTGCGTGTTTGATCAATTTCAGACTGCAGAAGTTGGTAAAAGTCTTCAATTTCTTCATCTTTGGCCTTAGTGGTTGGTGTGTAAATTTGAATAAGTCATATTAACTGGACTTCCTTGTAGGAGTATGGATATTATCCTATCACTGACAGCGTTATACTTCAGGATAGATCTTGAAATGTTCTTTTTGATGATGAATGCAATGCCATTCCTCTTCAAGCTGTCATTCCTGGCATAGTAGACCGTATGATTGCCCGATTCAAAATGCCCAATACCAGTCCATTTCAAGTCACTAATGCATAAGATATCGATCTTTATGTGTTTCATTTCATTTTTGACCATTTCCCATTTTCCTAGATTCAGAATTTGTATATTCCAGGTTCCAATTATTAATGGATCTTTGCAGCTGTTTCTTCTCATCTTGAGTCATGCCATAGCAGCAAATGAAGGTCCTGAAAGCTTGACTCCATCCATGTCATTAAGATTGACTCTACTTTGAGGAGGAATCTCTTACCCAGTCATATTTTGTGTGCATTTCAACCTGAGGGGCTCATCTTTTGGCGCTATATCAGACAATGTTCCACTGCTGTTCATAAGGTTTTCACTGGCTAATTCTTTTCAGAAGTAGAGTGCCAGGTCCTTCTTCCTAGTCTGTCTTAGTCTGGAAGCTCAACTGAAACCTGTCTGCCATGGGCAACCCTGTTGGTATTTGAATACTGGTGGCATAGCCTCCAGCATCACAGCAACACACAAGCCCCCACAGTATAACAAACTGACAAACTCATGGGGGAGATTGAATAATGGCCCCCCCAAAAAAATCCACATCCTAACCCCTGGAAGATGGGAATATGTTATTTTATATGGTGAAGGGGACTTTGAACACATGATTAAGTTAAGGATCATGAGATGGGGAGATTATCCTGGATTATCCTGGTGGGCCAAATGTAATCACAAATCACAAGGGTGCTAATAAGAGGGAGGCAAAAGGATCAGAATGAATAGTAGATGTGATGATGGAAGCAAGAACTTGGAGTGACGTGAGGAAGGGGCCACAAGCCAAGGAATGCCAGTGGCCTCTAGAAATTGAAAACGGCCAGAAAATGGTTTCTCCTCTGAGGTCTCCAGAAGGAACGCAGCCCTGCAGACACCTTGATTTCAGAACTGGAAGAGAATAAATTTGTGTTGTGTTAAGCCACTGAATGTGTGGTAATTTGTTATAGCAGCAGTAGGAAGTTGTAAATTGTGCCTAGAGTTAAGTAGCAGTGACAGTAATATGATGACAAATGTTCAAAGCCAGCAAAACATTTCTTTCCCTATGTACTTGGAGAAACTCAAAGCTTATTTGAGTTGAACCATGTATAGTGCACAGGGCAAGGCTATATACAATTAGCCACTTAAACATGCTTTTTATTAGTCTTTGTAGGAGTAACAATGCCTATGAGTTATGGTGTCCCCGTTTTTTCCAGAGTAAGACATTTTTTAAATAATCTTTTATTTGTTGTTTAGTGGAGGTGTACACAACAAAACATGTTCCATTCAACAATTTCTGCACATACTGTTCAGTAACATTGGTTACATTCAGGGCTTTGAACCAGTTCCTCTGGTTTGAACCCCTGCTGAAAATCTGCATTTCTAACAAGTACCCAGGAAGTTATACATAAGAATCACCTGGGTATCTTGTTAAACTATAGATTCTGATTCAGTATGTCTGGGATGGAAATGCAAGTTATGAGCAGGGGTTCAAACTGAAACGAACCTGTTTGAAGCCCTGGTTACATTCGTTACATTGCATAAACATTCTCATTATTTCCCTTCTAGATGTTCTGTTCCCATTGACCTAGTCTCACAGCCCCTTCCCGCCTCAACCTTCTCATCTATGCTTTAAAATATTTGTTAACCATTTGGTCTCATATAGATGATTTTTTATAAGAGCACAGTGCTCATGGGTGATATTCTTTACTTTTTGAGTTAACCTGCTATTTAGCTAAAAGATAAGGGGATAGTTTTTGTTGAAGGCTTAAAGAATATCTCAGGGTACTATTCTCAGGGATTCTTCTTGTCTCAGTGGGTCTAATAAGTCTGGATTTTTTGATAATTTGAAGTTCTGTTCCACATTTTTCTCCCTTTCTATCAGGATCCATCTGTTGTGGTCCTAATCAGAACATTCAGTAGTGGTAGCTGGACACCATCTAGTTCTTCTTGTCTCAGGGTAGAGGAGGCCGTGGTTCATGTAGATAATTAGTCACATAGGCTTGTTCCTTCTCTGAGTCTTGGCTTTCCTTCTTTCTCTTTTGCTCTAGTTGAGTAGAGACCAATAGTTGTATCTTAGATGGCGTCTTAGTTATCTAGTGCTGCTGTAACAGAAATATCATAAGTGGATGTCTTTAACAAAGAGAAATTTATTGTCTCACAGTCTAGGAGGTTAGAAGTCTAAATTCAGGGTGCCAGCTCCAGGGGAAGGCTTTCTGTCTGTTGGCTCTGGGGGAAGGTCCTTGTCATCAGTCTTCCCCTGGTCTGGGAGCTTTTCAGCCCAGGGACCCTGGGACCTAAAGACGCACACTGCTGGCTCTGCTTTCTTGGTAGTATGAGATCCCCATGTCTCTCTGCTCACTTCTGTCTTTTATATATCAAAAGAGATTGGCTTAAGACACAATCTGATCTTGTAGATTGAGTCCTGCCTCATTAACATAACTGCCTCTAATCCTATCTCATTAATATCATAGAGATAGGATTTACAACACAGGAAAATTACATCAGATGACAAAATGGTGGACAATCACACAACACCAGGAATCATGGCAGAGCCAAGTTGACAGATATTTTGGGGAACACAATTCAATCCATGACAGATGGCTACTCACAAGCTTTTAAGACCCTAGATGCTGCTTACTTGACTTAGATGTAGAAGAACATCAACTTTATGAACTGTATTATGCCCATTGACTGAGTTGTTCCATGAGACTATGACCCTAAGTCTTTGAACCAAGAAAACTAATTCTGTGAGGTGATTGGTTACGTCTAAGATGTATCAGTTTCTGTGACCCTTATTTGTTTAAATATATATACATATATATACACATATATATATACATATATATACATATATATATACACATATATATACATATATACATATATATACATATATACATATATATACATATATACATATATACATATATATACATACATATACATACATATATATACATATATATACATACATA